CTCCCAAAATAATGTATTGGCTCTTATATTTTTAAAACATATTTCTTCCTGCTGGTTTGAGATAATTACTCAAAAACGTAGCTCAAAGGCTATCTTGGAAATCTCAGTTTCCTCTTTTGCTTCATTTAGAAAGCGATTACTCTTTTTCTGGAAAACTAGCCCGAAGGCTCTTTGGAAATCTCAGTTTCCAATCTTGTTTAAATGTGAAAACATTTCTTTAAAACTTCTTTGGGAATACTTAGTTCCTTAATAAATTTTTAGAAATGAACTCAACTTTATACTCTTGGCTTAACTTGAAACTCTATACTCTTTACTTAACTTGAAACTCGAGACTTAAAATGAAGTTAAAGCGTTCAATAAAGAATTTTGAACAACTTTAAAGACTTGCTCGGACTTACTTCTTAACTTCTAAGATGGACTCTAACTTCACTTGACTTTGATCCGAACTTTCCTCGAATTGGATTATGAATTCAAGGGTAATGATCTCATGTTTATGGATGAGTTCTTGACGTTTAGACGTACCTTGGAGTGTTGAAAAAAACTATAAAACATATGTACATTACCAAGGAACAAGCATGAACAAGTGGGGAATGAAAGGGAAGACTTGGCGTCCTTGGCGCTCTGAGAGGCGTGGAGCACCAGCCCTCAAACTTCAGAGGGGCCTGCTGGGCGCTCTGCTAGGCGCGCCGCCCCAAAGGGGTAAGTTTAGAACCCCTTTTGGGACGCGCTGGCAGGCGCGACGCGCCACCCCTGATCCCAGAAAACTCGACTTTTCTTCTTCATTTTTCCAACTCTAAACCACCTTAACTTCAAAGGTTCCAGCCCCGAACACTTGGAATCATAAAACCCCTCAACATACACTAGATTTTAACTCAAAAACACAACCGGAAACATGTCCCAAATCAATAAGGACTTCAACACAACCACAAGATTTCAACAAACATAACAAATCCCCTTTTTTTTCTTGAAATTAAAACGAGTTTGGCATGTGGCAGAAAGAATTAACCCAACACTATGATCTCACATACCTTAATAGGGATTACCCCCGACGAAAACCACAACGATCTTGACGGACTTTGCTTCTTCTCCTTCCTCCTCTTCTCTCCTCTTCCCTCAAGAACCCTAACTCATTCTTTTAAAAGGGAAAAACTGATTTAAAATCAGTGTAACACCTCAATATAACCAAAAGAAATGGCTAGGTAAAAGACCAAAATACCCTTACAAATTCGGGCTAACTGCCCTGCCAACAACCCAACTTCCAAAGGGCATAACTCACTCATACGAACTCGGAATCGAGTAAACTCGACGGAGTTGGAAAGATAGTTCCAAGAGATTTCCAAACATAACTGGGACTACACCTAACTCATCCTGAGCTAGGATTTATGGCCGTTCAAAGTTGATCAAAAACTCACTTTTTCCCATACTTAACCAAATTTCCAGATTTTTAAATTCTTTCCAAAAATGACTATTTCAAATTATAAGCTTCTTCATAGTTATTTCAAATTGCATGACGTTACAATATCTTTCCCTTGGGAACATTCGTCCTCGAATGAGATTACTCTTAAAAGGCTAAGGGTGTAATATCACTCAAACACCTAACAAGCAATCATGCAACAACAACAACAACAACAACAGGCTCAGTATAATTTAAAAAGCACTAAGAAGCAAATTAGTACCTTAATCTGCATTTCCTCCGGACTCAAAGAGATATGGATATCTCTTCTTCATCTCCTCTTCGGCTTCCCAAGTAGCTTCCTCAGCAAATTGGTTCCTCCAAAGGACCTTGACTAAGTCTACATCCTTTGTTCTCAATCTACGAACTTGGCGATCTAGAATTTGAGCAGGAATCTCCTCATAAGATAAGCTATCCTTGATCCTAATATTCTCAGTAGGTATGATCAACGAATGATCGCCTATGCATTTCTTCAACATGGAGATGTGAAATACCGGATGAACCGTTGTTAGTTCCTGTGGTAGCTCCAACTCATAAGCCACATTGCCAATCCTCTTGGCTATGTGGTAAGGTCCAATATACCGGGGACTAAGTTTCCCCTTCTTACCAAACCTCAGAACCCCCTTCATGGGTGAAACTTTCAAATATACCCAATCTTCTACTTCAAACTCTAACGTTCTTCTCCTAACATCGGTGTAGGATTTCTGATGACTATGTGCCGTTTTCAACCTCTCTTAAATCACTTTTTTAAATAACATGGAAATTATAAATATTATTATTACTGTGTTGATTTTAAAAAAAAATAATCAAAAATAGAAGACAAAATATAAAAAAATGAAATAATATGAAAAATTCTTAATCTGGAAATTAACTCCCCACTCGAATCGCAATTGCATTAACTACCCCACGTTATGTCGTTATCCCTGTTTCCTAATTTTTCTGACACAAATTGAAATGGAAGAACTATCTTAAAGAGACATTGTACGAACTATGAAGTGCAATATTTAGTCACACAAATTGAAATAAAAGAACTATCTTAAAAAGACATTGTACGAACTATGAAGTGCTACACATAGGTAGAATTGTCTTTTGGCGCTGTGCAAACATCCGCTCTCCATCCATTAATCATCTAGCTATAAGCAGTTGCCGCCTTTATTAGGTATTGCACTTCCGCACTGAACAGACAACAAAAGTCAGAATGAGTCCATCAACTTTTGAAGCAATGGACATGGTTAAGTCAAGAAAATAAAGAAAAGAGTTTATTGACTATAGATCAAAGATATTTTAAGCAATAACACACCAAGAGGGTAAAACTATATGTATAATTATTATTATTAAATGAATAATTGAATAACAATACTCTATAGATTATAATTTATTCAAATTTTATTAATTAAATAGATTAGATAAACATAAAAAATAATTCATATTTTGTATTACCATCAATACATCAACTAATAACAAAATCTAATACTGAAATAACTCATGAATAGTTGCAATCTCAGTACATATAACTTTTTTCATATACCTGAATTAAATAATATAATGATTTAGTCATCGTTTCAACATGATCATGTAATACATTTCAAGTTGAGGCATCATTATTCAAGTTAGGAAAAAAAAAGTTGAGGAGTCATTATGATAATCCATCTCTATTAATTATCATTCCGCCAGTTAAAAATATCGATGTTGGTGCACACCACCTTATCACGATTTGGTGAAGGAGACGGCTAAACAAAGCAAGAAATAAAAAGACGGACAGGATCATGCACAATACATGTTAAACTATAGAAGTGGATGATGACAGAAATTTTGAAAATAATAGATTTTTATGAAAAACTGGGTTGATAAAGTTGTGGGTAGCAGTTTATTTTTGGAAGTCGTGGGGTTATGGAATTGTGTATTTTATAGGGATAAGGTTAGTTAGTTATGTTTTGAAATTAAAAAATAGGAGATATTTTTTGTCAAAAGACAGTTTTTATTTTCTACTTTTTTTGTTAATTAGTTATTTATATTATCTTTTTGTGTTTCGTAATTAAAATTTTTAATTCAAAAAATAGATTTTTAATTGGTAGTAATTCTAACTTTTTTGTTGATAATTTTGGTAGTAATTCTAATTTTAAATATTTAAAAGGAGTTTTAATATTTATTTTGAAAAAGTTATTTTTATTTGTTTTAACGTCAGATTTGTTATTTAATTTGTTTGACATTCAGTTTAAAATTTAAAAATAGTAACTAAGTTTGCATAATAAAATTGTAAGTTAACAAATAAAATAAATAAATGAAGTGCTTTGTTTTAAAATAATTTTCGGACTTGATATTTTATGAAAGATGATACTAATTATTATAATATTATTTTATATCTCCTACTTTTTTTATTCGAAATCAAAAGAATAAAAAATATTTCGAAAACAGTAAAAAGTTAAGGTAACTTTAAATTATTGAATTTTTAAAAAAAGCTGTAAAAACTGCTTGTTGAATTTTTCATTATTTTTGTAGTGTTTGCAATTTTTATTTTTTATTTTTTATTTTTAGATTTTAAATTAATTTAATAATTCTTAAATTCTTTTTTTTGTGGTGCTTAGGCGTTTTTTCTTCTCCTTTTATATATAGATAGATATTAATAATAAGAGTCAAAGTCAATGGATTAGCTACCTTTTATATTACTCCACCCATCTCAAATTAGTTGTTATATTTTTTAATTGTTTTTGAAAGTTAATTTAATGAGAAAATATATTTTTAAAATGTTAATCAAAATTTATATAAATCGGTTCTCAAAAAGAAAAACACGTCAATTAATATGATACCGAAAAAGTACTAGTTTTTATTGGCGTAATATACCACAAATAATATTAATCACAATTGAAAATAAAATGACAAAAATGAATAAACATATTTTTAGGCTGAGGCACAGATATCTCGCTCTCTTTAAGGAGATTCAAGCCCACTGTGATATAATCTACACCGATCCAGCCGTATATCACTTGATTTGTCCCTTCCAGGATAAAACAACCCACCAACGTGGTACAACTCAAGTAACTCCGGACTAGTTGAAGAGTCCAAAGCTCCACAAAAAGAACAACTTCCTCCAAAATATATAAATATTCTCTTTTATGTAGTGAATATAATTAATAAAGTCTTATAATATTTTATTTGTCTGATTAACTCTCTTTTTTCACTACACTTGCCTCACTACACACTACAATACTTTTCCACACTTCTCTTCTTTTTTAACATACGCTGAAAAAAGGAAGAAACACCACTATTTATATGGGAGGAATTCTTTTTTTGTATTGAATAAGAATAATATGGATTATAATATAGATTAATGAATGGTCTAAAGGTTAATTACATAAGTTATAATATATAATGAGGTAGAATAGCGGGTGGAATTAGTGGTAGATCATCATATATTTTTTACTATGCAGGACACCAAACGATAACTAAAATCATCATCATTGATATGATTTTGCAAATTGATTTTATTAACGAGAAAATATATGTATGCATGGAATAATAATGGATGATTAACAAAACAAATCAACAATGACACATAATTAAAGCAATTACTACCTAATAACGCTTATGAAAGATAGAACAGTTTGTGCAGCCGTGAGCAAGAGAAGTATGATGGCTGCCACAGTTGAAGCTCCTGCCCAAGGACTATTAAAATAATTATGCCTCAAATTTGCTTTCATTCTGTTCCATGGTTTTTTACAATGTTCAACCGCTTTTATGCATTCTTCATTGTAATAGAAGTTGGAATGAACACCGACCCCATATGCAATTTTGTTGAAGAGGCTAGCCACTTGTGTGTCATCTCCCAGCCAGTGCTCTATGATTCCTTTCTGGCGAAGCAAATTCACATCTTTTTCTGAGTCAATAAGATAATCCATGAAAGTAGCAAAATCACTGAAATATTTTTGTTGTACATCAAATGATTGTTGCTCATAAGCAATGAGATTTCGTAAGATGGTTTCTGTACCATCTTCGACTTGAAAACAAGGGATTGTCATCAATCCATTCTCAAACTTTATATCAAATAAACTTGTTGTATGATTAACCTTTGCAAATCTAACTCCAGCTTCAGAAAGCTCTGTTGCATTTGGCATGACCTTATTACGTGTTATGGCAGCGCTACCGCCGGTAGGGTAGCTACTGCCGGTAGGGCTGCCGCTACCGGTAGGGCTGCCGCTACCAGTAGGGCCGCGTACTGGTAGGGCCGGCTACCGGTAGGGCCGCTACTGGTAGGGCCGCTACTGGTAGGGCCGCTACCGGTAGGGCTGTTACCGCCGGTAGGGCTGCTTGATGAATTTGATGTCATGGGATCATTCACATGACATGAAAATATGTGTACTAGATGAAGTAAATGTTTGATATATACTGCATTGCATTCTGTCTTTCTAAAGGATGCAACGGTCATTTTTGGCAAGTCAACAAGAAAAGTAAACGAATTATTCGCTAGTATTGTCAATGGTAATTCATCATCTTGCTTTGTTATGCGATGAAGATGTTTGAGGACAAAGAATGGAAGTTGGTTTTCTAGTAACAACAAGTCTTGGAGTATGTAACCAGGATTAATATTAATAATAATTCCTCCTTGATATATTCCACAACGCTCTCGAATAAACTCAACCACAAAACAACCATCAAGCAACAACATTTTGCAAAATTCATCAGTATCGACATCTTCTATATCGTCGTAACGCTTTATTGCTTTCTCTTTCAGTTTCTCCAATTGATTGATGCAACTTTCCATATCAAGCCCCCCTTTTCGTTTAAGAAACCGTCGTAGGTACAATAGTTTGTACTTTTCCATTGGACCAAGTAAAGGATGTCTCTTATGGTAAGGACCAATAGAGACCATCTTTGGTCTATAAGCATCTGGATTTGATTCACGTAACCACACATTTACTCTGAATATGGTACTTGATTTAATAGACGAATTGTCTAAATCCTTAAACATTTCAAAAATTTGATTTACAAATTTCTTTGTTCGTGACCCTAATGGATCATTTGTTTCCTTTATCTCGATTACATGATCCACTTCCCTCCCTTCTTCTATCTGTAATAGATAAAGAGTCATTGGGTTTTTTGCAATACAATTGAGGCCAAATCTAAGTGTCTATCTATGCATTTTTCCTTTTGTAACATAGTAGTTAGTAGCACATATAAATTAAACCATTGTTAGTGAACATGTTAGGACCATGAGGTAGACCTAAATTTACATTGAAGAAAAGGAAAAAACTATTCTATTTTGTATAGTTGAGAGAGTGAGAGACCTCATCTTTTTTAGTTTGAAAAAGCAGTGGAATTTGGTCATCATCTATTTGGGCCATCTCAATGGAGTACTGTGTCATCCCTCTTTCGTCAATGGTAACCTATAAAAGACGCATTTTCTTGATAAGTTTCAATTCATAGATACTATGGCTATTATTATTGAGACGGTGCTGACCAGTTGGATATTGTGTAAATATATGAGAAATTTATCAAAACAATATATATTTAGCATTAAATAGGACGACTCCATAGCTATAATTTACTTAATTATGGAAAATAGCAAAATGTTAGGGGAAGAGGTAGGAGAGAGGCGATTGAGATCTAGGAGAAGTGTATTTTTTGCTGATTTTGAAGAAAAATAATACAAATACAAACTGATTTGTATCAACATGAATACATATTAGCAGGAGAGAGGCAAGCGAGATCGAGAGACGAGCGAGATCTCAAGAGAGAGAAGAGAGGCGAGCAATATCAAAAGAGGAAGGAGAGAGGATTGTATTTTATATTTATTTTGCATTGTACTTTGTATTTCTTTTGTATCAATTGTATTAGAAATACAATGAATACAATTGTATCCATCCTCTCTTTGATCAGATACAAATACATAGTGTTTAGCATAGAACAAGAAAATTTAGAAATAAAGAAATACCTCTTTGGTTTGGATATTTCTTTTTCTTTCTTCTTTTTTCTTTCTAATCTATGAGACCGGTCACCTGTAAATTTATAAGAGAAAATGAGATAAAATATTATTCATATGTAATATAATAATATTTTAATATGTGGCTTTGTGTTGGTCTTTCAACAAACAAAATATTGTTGGCCAATGATGGAAAGATAAGGAGATATTTTTTTCCAAAGTCTAGTGTGACTAGTCAATGATTCCTCAATTTTTTGTCGAAGTCGTTAGTGTGACTAAGAGATATTGACATATTTGTTGTACTATAATAATAGCATACACCTTTTAAATTTCTAACCTTTATTTATATTAGAGTTTTGGAAATCATTTTCTTGATATATTTAGTATGTATATTTTTACTATCAGAAAAATGATATGAACAAATTCACGGATAATTTAGTTTTTCATGGATTTTTCTATCAAAATAAATCGGATGTAAAAAATCTTCCAGTGCAATTTCAATTTGCATATAAATTACATGCAGATTGTTTTGCAAGAAATAAAAATTCATGAAAAATAATAATTTCCGCAAGTAATTTCCCCATGAAAAATCTCAAGTAAATTTGTAAAGAGCTCTAAACTTACCCCATAATGGAGGTGCGACACAATATTAAGCTCATCACCACACAAATTGTATAATGAGGAAACACTCACTCAATCAACAATTGTGTTACAACAAAATCTAGTTCTCAACGTCACCAGTAAAAGCTAGAACAGTTTGTATAACAATGAATACAAAAAGTGTTACAACAATTTGAATGTATTCCTTCTTATTGGCAGGAGAGAGAGGGGAAAGAGAGAGGAGCGGGCAGGAGAGAGGATGAGAGAGAGGAGAGGACAAGAGAGAGGAGAGGGCAAGAAAGAGGGAGGAGAGGCAAGGGAGATAGGAGACACAGAGAGAGAGAGAGAGAGAGAAGAGGGTAGGAGAGGCAAGGGAGAGAGAAGAAGAGTTTGCTATAAAAACAACATATTGCTCTTTTTTGTAATATCTTGAAACTATAGCTATTTTTCATAAATAAGTTACTAATTTGATAATTTTTCCTAAATATATTAAAAATTATAGTGGTAGCACAACTTACTTTAGCACTTGAAAGATGTTAAAGGAAGGGGGGTGTATTTAAACACCCGTATAGTTTAAGTGCTAAAGTAAGTTGTGCTGCCAAGTTTATGATGATTTTTATGTGTTTTCTCTTTCAAAAAGAACACACAACTAATTAACAATGAGTAACCAACAAAAATTGTCATTAAGTGATAATTATTTTTTCCTTGTTAATTAACGGCTTTGAGTTTAAATTCTAAAAATAGGCCTACTTCTAAAATGAGATTTTATATCGCGAATTCAAATTATTTAGAGTATATCAAATTAAACACTCAATGACCATGGAAGAAAACAATGATGACTAAGAATCTTTTAAATAAAAATATGATTATTCCATTTTAGGTATAAATTAATATAACTAGTTGGTAGTGTTTGACATAGAACGAGAAAATGCACAAAATTACCTCTTTGGTTTGACTCTTTCTTCTTTTGTGTCTATTCAATTCTTCCTTCTCATGGATTTTTCATTGGAATGGAGTATCTTTCTATATTATATAGAAGAAAAAAAAGGAGAAGAAATACAGATAATTGAAGTTAGTATTTGGATGCATGTGTAGGGTAGGGTGTGTTTATGGTGCTATCGGTTATTTTATAAAATTTATATTATTTTATTTTACATAAAAATTAGACTTTTTGAAATAGTCTCATTATATCGATTTTTCATTAGTATAAGTACAATTAAGTTAATTTTTGATATTTTTTGTTAAACGTTATGGTGGGAAGATGCGGAGGACATAAGTTAGGATAGAAAGTTAGTAGTGCGCTATACTAGTAGGTAGGACTGCATTTTCTTGTTACACTATACTTTTAGAATTATTCTTGTAGTTTCTTGTTCTTTTATTTCCATTACTATCTATGATTTCATGTAGTTCAACAATTATAGTATAATTTTATTGTAGTATTGTTCTATTATACTATATGTTGTTTTTATTACTATCTATTGTCTCTTGTACTTTCATTGCATCTTTTTCTAGCTAGATTGCTTTCTTCTTAAGCCGAGGGTCTATATATCGAAAACAACTACCTGACTACCTCACATATAATGTATTGGCAAAATCTGCATATACTCTACCCTCCTAGACTTTACTTTGTGGGACTACATTAAATGAGTGGTTATTGTCGCGTGTAAGAGTCACATATAGAAGCATACTTTCCTAAAATTTTGATAGAAACTCTCTAAACGCTTTTGCAGTTTTAAAAGTGACCATCAAGGATATACTAAAGATAACAAAAATGGATATCCATTCCACTATTTTTACAGTACTGTAAAATAGGGTTAAACAAAGACAACAAATTTATATTATATACGGTTGAAAAGATATTAATCAACTGAATGAAGCTCAAGAACTAAGTCTACTAAAATTAACTATCCAGTAAAAATAAATTAAATCATATAAAAAAAGGATGTAATATCTTGTAGCTTATTAATCAAATCAATAAATATCTTGTTACTCAAAATGTTAAAACTAATTTAGTTTCGATGAAAAGTAACATAATGTAGTCATTTTCATCATTCCAAGTCCAGGGATAGAAAATTAATATATTATTATTTTAAAATTTAATATATAATATAAATTTACACATAAATTTATTTGATATAATTAGCTTTATTTTGTTCAACACAAAAAAGTTCTTGATCGGCAATAGTTTTTTTTTGTTTTGAGAAATCTATTGACTCAAGTCAATGACTATATATACTCCACAATATTTTACATTTGAGTAAAAAAAATTTTAATTTATATATTAACTTATTTTATCATATCATTTCAAAAAATTCCTATTCTCAGATACATCACTCTTACGCGATGTATTGAAACATGTGTATTTTGTATCAATAAAAGTAATGTATCGGGATGCAATGTTTCGAAACGTTGAGCGATGTATCGGGACATGTGAGTCTTGTATTAACAAAGGTAATATATTGAGACGCGATGTATCGGGACGTTGATGAGTGATGTATCCAAAATTCTTAAATTTTAAAAGATTTTTGTAATTTGAAAAAGACTAGGGATATGATGTAATTAGCTCTTAACACTATGAGATTTGTGTAAAATTATTTAAATTTTAAGAGGGGTTTTGTAATTTAAAAAAAAAGTAGAGACAACGAGTAAGCTTTTATCGTTATACTGACATAATGCATTTAAAGGGGAGTGTATTTTGGTAGGAACACGGGAAACTTAAGTGATTATTCTGTTTTGATTCATATTGATTTTACATTTTCCTAAAATTATTAAGAATAGTATGATAAAAAGTAATAAAGTTCTTTTAATTTATTAAAAAAAATAATTTATTTTTAATATATATACAAATAAAGTAAAATAAAACGAAGAGACTAATTGAAGAAGACGTAAGCATTTAAAAAACGTGCTTAGCTTCTTTCTTTTGTAATTATCAACTATGTACTGGAATAGACATGCATGTGCATGAACTGTGTAGTAATAAATTATGGGAAAAGGGATAAATATACCTCCGAACTTTCGAAAATGGTATGTCAATACCCTTAGTCATACTTTCCGTTCATTAGTGCCCTCGCCGTCCAATAACTAGTGCACATTTGCCCCTCCCACTAACGGAAAACTCATTTTGTACACGTGGCACAATCCTACGCCTCAATCCGGATTGATCAAATATTTAACCCAAATTTCAAATACCCGTTTAACCTGCCCCATTACCCATTTAACTCGCCCAATACATCCATTACCCACATCAAAATTTGTTCATGTTGGAGAACCCCACGTAGAAATCTCGAACATGTGTTGAAAGCTGAATCTGTATCAGTGTTTTAGGGATTGTGGAGTTGAACAATGTTCAGATTTGAATGAAAACTACAAATGGAACTCACTTCCTCGAAGAATTGGCAGATCAACTACAAATAGGATCCAAACTCTATATAATTTCAGTCTCTGTTGGAAGTTATCCTTCCTAGAATTGCATCAGACGTATTCGTGCCCTAACTCTTTCTTTACCAAAAAGGACATACAAGTAGCAGAGCATGCAAATAAATTGCAATGTTTTGATCTGGTTATGTTTTGTTTCATTTTCGATTACTCTAATTATTATTTTTTCCTGAGAGATGATGTTAATAAATTTAATTTGCAAAAACTTTATCCAAGGCAAAGTGATTTTAAGTCTCTTCTTCAAGATTTTGGCAAGGCGTTTTTTCTTTGTAGAAATAGGTGCTTTGAATTCTCGATCTCTTTTGTTTAATTGTTCAAGTAGATGATTGAAAGAGTATATGGAAAGATAAAAGAAGAAGAAGGAGGAGAAGGGGGTGAGGGGGTGGGGGACGGCAACGACAGCGGCGACCTTACGAGGAAGAAGAAGAGTTAAAGTAAATGGGGCTTTTTCTTTAGGTTTGTAGATAGTTTGTTAAGTGGGTAATTGGGCGGGTTAAACGGGTATTTGGAATTTGGGTTAAAGATTTGGTCAACCCGGGTTAAGGCGTAGGATTGTGCCACGTGTACAAAAAGAGTCTTCTGTTAGTGGGAGGGGCAAATGTGCACTAGTTATTGGACGGCGAGGGCATTAGTGGACGAAAAGTATGACGGAGGGTATTGACATACCATTTTCGAAAGTTCGGGGGTATATTTGTCCCTTTTCCCATAAATTATTAATGGTGTATTTTAATGATACATAAGTGCCTAGCTGGACAAATTACTATTTATAATGATACAATATTTATGATGTTCATGTGGGCACCTATTTATCTTTAAAATATACTATTAAATAGTGTAGGGGGAATAGGCCTTGCCCAAAGTTTGGGATTGTTACAACAATTTCGGTCAAAGTTCGGATATATTTCGAACCTTTTTCCCTACTTTTTTCGTAGTTTACAAATAAAATAAATTTCATTTCAAAAAAATTGAAGATTTCATGGGTAAAATTCCGATCAAACTTAAACTGTTTGACTCTCGACAGACGAAAAGTGTCACATAAATTGAAACAGAGGG